TTGCTCCGAACTGGGCTAATGAAGACGGGCATATGCCATACAGTGTGCTATGAGGGAAATTTTGCCCTGACAGCGGCACTACGGCCTACTCTTATATCGAATTCCAACTGTCAAGGGATCTTTTACGTGCACGCCAATGTGTACACGGGACCTCGGTTTTTCGTCTCATCCGAATGACTAGACAGCTGTCCTTGTCAGGCCCTTTGTCCTGCATCACTGACAAGGGGGAACCACGCCGGAAAATCTGGATGAACTTTCTCGGCCAATGCAGGGATCGAACACCCGACCTCCAGGCTAGCGAGCCAGCGCCTTACCCACTTAGCCACCGTGATCCCCCTATTTATCAAACTCGTGCTATTAACCTCACTACACAATTCAGATGGGAATCAACTCCTCTCAACTATAAAGACAGGTTGACAGGCAACAAATCATATGCTCACAGCAGTTAAGTCGCATGAGAAGCCACAAATAAAGGTTGAATATTTATTCTTTTGTACACATGTAAATGTAGCTTAATACATGTACGAGCATTTATAAATAGGGGGGGTGGGTGGGATGGCTGAATGGTTAGCGTGCGCGCGCTGTATCATAAAGTCTGTCATTGAGTCGACTGGCGTGGTTTCGAATCCCCGGTTGTACGTGGCAAGGAGTAGGGTCGCCTGTCCAACCTCAGGGGTTTTCTCTGGGTCCTCCGGTTTCCTCCCACTGCTAAAGACCCCTACGCGCAAGCGAATTACGTAAATAAAATTAAACCATATGTTAGTCCCGAAATGACCTAGTTTGTGTCGAGTGGACGTTAAACCCCATTTCTCTCTCTCTCTCTCTATTTAAAAATAACAATAAAAACTGATCAAGAGTAAAACCCCATTCTGTTATTATCAAAAACAATCAAAATTTGATAGGCATCTAATTATTCCATTCCGGTAATCAGATGATAATTGATGTTCAAATTATCAGAAATCAATAGGCTTCTTCAGAAACATTTTGTATCAATTTTAAGTAAAACAGATGGTCACTTTAACCTCTAGAGCATCCACAAAAAGTGGGGACCACAATCTATGACACATTTAAATGTGGGTGTATAAAAATGTACCCAAAGGTTTAAAGTCCAGTTTTAGTTTTAAAGAATAGTTTATTTAAACTGATACATGTACGTAAATGTATATCAACTAGTACTTTGCATTGACTTATATTATATAGTACATTTGTATACATGTGTCCAGTGTATATGTATACCAACTAGTACTTTGCATTGACTTAAATAGTATACATGTGTCCAGTGTATATGTATACCAACTAGTACATGTACTTTGCATTGACTTAAATAGTATACATGTGTCCAGTGTATATGTATACCAACTAGTACTTTGCATTGACTTAAATACATGTAGTATACATGTGTCCAGTGTTAAAATTGGCAGTTACATGTAAAACATCACTCCAGTAATATAAATTGTGGAGAAGGTTTTTATAAAGCCACTGTCAATTCAAAATTCTTTAACAAGAGAGTCAAAGATACAAGCATTTTTATACATGTATACTGTAGTCAATTAGTAATACAATTTTAAACCACATGGCTTAATACCAGTCTAGGTAATAAACTACCTATAACATCAGAACAATGCTTATCTCATCTCAATATAATATATTTGCCAAGTCTACCTTAGTGAACAATTAGTGTTAACTGATATTTAAACCTGTATAGAAGTCATGATGTAATGAACAGAGACCTAGATGGCTATATTCTAAATACTAGACAATAAACAAGAAAAAACAGGTTTTATCAATCTACCCAATCTGATTTTCCTTAAAATAACTGAAATGTTTTTAAAAATTTCATAATGCGCATGTACATACTGGAGGCCTAGAAGGCCTAGGTTATAAACTAACAAAAACAGATTTTATCTCTATAGTGTATACATGTACAAGATCCTTTTATTTCAAAATCACTGAATATCTGTCGGTGATGGAAAATTGTAAAGGCACCTACGTACATGTGTATATACCGTACTACTGTATGACCAAATTGGTTATATTATTATTTTTCATATATTGAATATTTCTTGGATGATTTTAACCATCTTAAATATATGGAGATTTAAAACTACAATATACATGTAGGAACAAAGTCTTAGAATGTTGGTTTAGACAAGCCAATAAGGCTTCCAAAGTGTCTTATTATTACATGTACATGTATGTGCCATGAATGGTCAATATACAAGAAGTGAATAAAATATTAATACTTAAAAAGAATTATAACAATTTGAAAATTCACCGTCTTCGATTCAAATGGATTAAAAAGAGGCCCATCAAAAGATTTTACCCAGAGAAGCTGAATGTTGGGCGATTTTCAATTATTCATCGTATATGTATAAATACTTAATAGATCAGAACCACTATTGGACCAAAATTTATTTTATTGACCCAACTTTCACTATATTGTACTTGCAAGGGATTCAATATCACTTACACATGCATTATGCAAGAGCAACATGTAAATCTGCCTATTGCAGGTCTTTCTTTAAGCCTGAAATATTATCTAAATTATTAATTAGACATTACATTGTAATTATCTTATCCAGACCATAATCAACTCGCGATGCCATAGCCTGCGATATTTAATGGATTTGAATACATTTTGTAATGGATAATTTAACTTTAAAAACAAATGGATAAACAAGACTTTGTTTATTATCTTACTGATGTTAGTAATGATGATCAAGACTAGCCCAAAATTGAATCGCTAATATCTTGGTTCAGAGTGAAGAAATTTAACTGAAATTTTCAGCATATTCTGTTTTCATTATCTCTTTTTTAACTATTTTAGCGAGAACTGTCAGCTCTTTTTCTAATCTTACCTAATGCCCCTTTATATGATAATCAGTGTTTTTTTGGTACATAGCAACTATCAGATCCCTTAAATATATTTACAAGTTCTATTATCATTAAAGGCAACATCCATGAATATACATATATATATAAACATGTAAATTAAAATGTTAATTTTTAAAGTTACAGAGATTTAAAAAGTCAACTGGAAATGTCAATATTCAATAAATGTTAATTATCATATACATGTATACCAACCGCAAATATTTTCTTGAAACCAGATAGTGTCCCAATTGAGAAAATAAAAAATTCAATTGTGAGCACTGATCAAAATTCTCTGATATTTGTACACACTTCTTGTAACAGTAGATAATTATTTAATTAATTAATTAAATAATTATGGTAATTACTAATTTAGTGTGAGTAACTTGGGGTATTAAGGGTGTTCATTAAGTCATTAAAGGTGTGAAACAACTGTTAGCTAATTTAACAAGCCAACAGTGAGGCTGATGTCCCCCGCCGAAATAGGAAAATAATTAGAGGACACATATAAATTTATCACAAATTATCTATTACAAAGTATTGAACAATCAAACAGTATATCTTTACTTATAGTCTAACAATCAAAGTAGGAGAGTTATTGTTTTCCAAAGTCTCGACCAATCAAATTGCGTATCGCTCTGCTTACCCTGAGCAGAAAATGCTCATTATCAAACTTAGTCAAGGTATTACTGTAATGAAACTATACACCAAGTTTCATCAATCTCACTTAATTAGAACTAAAGTTATCGTGTCCCAAAGCATCAACCAATCAAATTGCTTATCTCTGCTTACCCTAAGCGGAAAATGCTCATCTTCGAACTCCATCAAGGCATTGACCTAATCAACACATACACCAAGTTTGAACATTCTAGCTCAATTAGGAAGAGAGTTATCGTGCCCCAAAGTATCAACCAATCAAATTGCTTATCTCTGCTTACCCTAAGCGGAAAATGCTCATCTTCGAACTCCATCAAGGCATTGACCTAATAAACACATACACCAAGTTTGAACATTCTAGCTCAATTAAAAGTTATCGTGTCCCAAAGCATCAACCAATCAAATTGCTTATCTCTGCTTACCCTAAGCGGAAAATGCTCATCTTCGAACTCCATCAAGGCATTGACCTAATCAACACATACACCAAGTTTGAACATTCTAGCCCAATTAGGAAGAGAGTTATCGTGTCCCAAAGCATCAACCAATCAAATTGCTTATCTCTGCTTACCCTAAGCGGAAAATGCTCATCTTCGAACTCCATCAAGGCATTGACCTAATAAACACATACACCAAGTTTGAACATTCTAGCTCAATTAGGAAGAGAGTTATTGTGTCCCAAAAAGTGTGACGGACAGACAGACGGACAGACAGACAGACAGACAGACAGACAGACGGACGAACCCATTTTAATAGTCCCCTGCTTTCTTCGAAAGGCGGGGGACAATAAATAAGACAGTTACTGTACATTGAAAAGTATAATTCATAGTACATATACATAAAATATTTATTGGAAGTCTACACTTGAGTAGTCTACTACATATACAAAATAAATATTTATTTTATTTATCATTTGTAAGTTTTTTGACACCTACGTAACTTGTGGTGTTGATATTTTTTTGCTGGGTCTAGGATTATACTGGATTTATTAATATTAATAACTATTTTACATACCAGTAGGTCGTACTCTATAATGTTTGGTGATGATACCAATTAATGAATGTGTACTTTCCGTCATAATCTCAAAATTACGTAAATTATTAATGCAGACACATACATATTGTATCGTCATTTCCCCCCACTTTTGAGAAAGAAAATAATAAATCAGACATTAAAACACTCAATTTGCTTATTCAAGTTCTCTCTCTGTCCAACCCAACTAAGTTTGGCATAAAAGCTGTAGAAGAGAAAATAGTCTCCTGCTGGATCTTAAAAAAAATTGTTTGAAAAAATTGGAATAAACCACGCAATATAACAACCAGTTTTTCTACAATATTTGGTGGAAGTTAAACGGATATTTGTATAATCATCAATTAAAAGTCATATACTACACTGTAGTGTTTTCCACCCCATTCAATTTTGGGGGTGGTTTCAAACTTCCAAAAAGTATCTAAAAAATGAAAATAAATTTATACCTTCTGATTTTAATCTTTTTTCTTCACACTTCTGCATTTCTCTAAAAAGTAATTCCCTCTCTCTAGAATGAAGACTGTAAATAAAATCTTTGGTCGAAGATTCGTCATATAAAGCACTGTATATATTTTTATACATAGATCTCTGACGAGTTATTATAAAGTTATTGAGAGGACTAGTCAGGCCAAAGGTGATGGGGTAGGGTAAATAATCCCCACCCTTCAGTGGTGATTGCAAAGTAAACGGTGTCAAAATTTTCTTATTCCACTGAAGCAAGCATCTTCTGCACAGATTTCCGCTTGCCGAAGCCATCTTATCGGTTTTGCAAACTCAGAACGAAAATCACGTATTTACTCGACGAAAGTCAAGTTACAACGGTACTGAAATCAATGCTGTTATTCCATTGACGGCGTGCTTTGATCTTGAGGGGATACGCTCTTTCCTAATAATAATACCCGACTATACAAGTCTTTTTATCAGAAGCCCTTTACAATTACCCCTAAGTACCACTAGAATTTCCAGTCAACAAACTCGGTCGATGGTTGGGCTAAAATTTGGGAATAGTTTGTTTGACTGAAATAAAAAACGCACTAACTCAAATATGATTACATCGTTTTTTGTCTATTTTGATTATTTTCCCCCAAGTTCAAATCTGACAGTTGAAGTCACAACTTTATTGAGATTTTCCTTCCAATAGCAATCCCCTAAACAACGTGTTGACCTCTCTTTGCGAGTAAGGTCGTCATCTAGGGTTAAGGGTCAACGACTGACGTCATCAACTGAAAACAATGGCCGTACTAATATAAACAACTTGAATTAAGTCTGTGTCCGATGCATAAAACTGATGACAGCATAGTATCTAGTCGCTTCGGAATAAAAACAACCGTGTGGAGGGATCTAGTCGCTTCAGTATTTGACATTTTCATGTGGCCTCGCCCAGTCGATAAAATCAATCAGTTAGTTCAGTCGAATAATCCAGTCGAAAAGTTCAGTCGAATACTTCAGTCGATAAAATCAATCAGTTAGTTCAGTCGAATAATCCAGTCGAATAAACCAGTCGAATACTTCAGTCGAATAAACAAGTCGCTCAATATTAAGCAGCGGTGGCAGCGGGCTAAGATAATATAGTAGCAAATCATGCTCGTAGCCATAGCTGAAGGAGCCGGGGGCATGGGGTAGGGACCGGGGGGCTTCCCAACTAATTTCAAGAAATGAAAAGAAATGAAATGGGGGTTCAACGTCCTTTTGTTCTGCTTGGAACTGGGCTAATGAAGACGGGCATACGCCATACACTGTGCGATGAGGGAAATTTTGCCCGGACAGCGGCACTACGGCCTACTCTTATATCGAATTCCATCTGTCAAAGGGATCTTTTACGTCCACTCCAATGTATACACGGGACCTCGGTTTTTCGTCCCATCCGAAAGACTAGACAGCTGTCCTTGTCCGCCTCGAAAAGAATAGAGTCCCTATATATGATATGAACGAAGAAAGGGGATGGGGTGGGGCGGGGGTGGGGGGGATAAGGTATTTGACATTTTCATGTGGCCTCGTCCAGTCGATAAAACCAGTCAGTTAGTTCAGTCGAATAATCCAGTCGAATAAACCAGTCGAATAATTCAGTCGAATAAACCAGTCGAATAGTTCAGTCGAATAATTCAGTCGAATAAACAAGTCGCTCAATATTAAGCAGCGGGCTAAGATAATATGGTAGCAAATCATGCTCGTAGACATAGCTGAAGGAGCCGGGGCATGGGGTAGGGACCGGGGGGCTTCCCAACTAGTTTCAAGAAATGAAAAGAAATGAAATGGGGGTTCAACGTCCTTCTGTTCTGCTTGGAACTGGGCTAATGAAGACGGGCATACGCCATACACTGTGCTATGATGGAAATTTTGCCCGGACAGCGGCACTACGGCCTACTCTTTTATCGAATTCCATCTGTCAAGGGATCTTTTACGTCCACTCCAATATATACACGGGACCTCGGTTTTTCGTCCCATCCGAACGACCAGACAGCTGTACTTGTCCGCCTCGAAAAGAATAGAGTCCCTATATATGATATGAACGTAGAAAGGGGATGGGGTGGGGCGGGGGATGAGGTATTTGACATTTTCATGTGGCCTCGTCCAGTCGATAAAACCAGTCAGTTAGTTCAGTCGAATAATCCAGTCGAATAAACCAGTCGAATAATTCAGTCGAAAAGTTCAGTCGAATAAACCAGTCGAATAGTTCAGTCGAATAATTCAGTCGAATAAACAAGTCGCTCAATATTAAGCAGCGGGCTAAGATAATATGGTAGCAAATCATGCTCGTAGACATAGCTGAAGGAGCCGGGGCATGGGGTAGGGACCGGGGGGCTTCCCAACTAGTTTCAAGAAATGAAAAGAAATGAAATGGGGGTTCAACGTCCTTCTGTTCTGCTTGGAACTGGGCTAATGAAGACGGGCACACGCCATACACTGTGCTATGATGGAAATTTTGCCCGGACAGCGGCACTACGGCCTACTCTTTTATCGAATTCCATCTGTAAAGGGATCTTTTACGTCCACTCCAATATATACACAGGACCTCGGTTTTTCGTCCCATCCGAACGACCAGACAGCTGTACTTGTCCGCCTCGAAAAGAATAGAGTCCCTATATATGATATGAACGTAGAAAGGGGATGGGGTGGGGCGGGGGATGAGGTATTTGACATTTTCATGTGGCCTCGTCCAGTCGATAAAACCAGTCAGTTAGTTCAGTCGAATAATCCAGTCGAATAAACCAGTCGAATAATTCAGTCGAAAAGTTCAGTCGAATAAACCAGTCGAATAGTTCAGTCGAATAATTCAGTCGAATAAACAAGTCGCTCAATATTAAGCAGCGGTGGCAGCGGGCTAAGATAATATAGTAGCAAATCATGCTCGTAGCCATAGCTGAAGGAGCCGGGGCATGGGGTAGGGACCGGGGGGCTTCCCAACTAGTTTCAAGAAATGAAATGGGGTTTAACGTCCTTCTGTTCTGCTTGGAACTGGGCTAATGAAGACGGGCAGACGCCATAAATTGTGCGATGAGGGAAATTTTGCCCGGACAGCGGCACTACGACCTACTCTTATATCGAATTCCATCTGTCAAAGGGATCTTTTACGTCCACTCCAATGTAGACACGGGACCTCGGTTTTTCGTCCCATCCGAAAGACTAGACAGCTGTCCTTGTCCGCCTCGAAAAGAATAGAGTCCCTATATATGATATAAACGAAGAAAGGGGATGGGGTGGGGCGGGGGGGGGGGGGATGAGGTATTTGACATTTTCATGTGGCCTCGTCCAGTCGATAAAACCAGTCAGTTAGTTCAGTCGAATAATCCAGTCGAATAAACCAGTCGAATAATTCAGTCGAAAAGTTCAGTCGAATAAACCAGTCGAATAGTTCAGTCGAATAATTCAGTCGAATAAACAAGTCGCTCAATATTAAGCAGCGGTGGCAGCGGGCTAAGATAATATAGTAGCAAATCATGCTCGTAGCCATAGCTGAAGGAGCCGGGGGCATGGGGTAGGGACCGGGGGGCTTCCCAACTAGTTTCAAGAAATGAAAAGAAATGAAATGGGGTTTAACGTCCTTCTGTTCTGCTTGGAACTGGGCTAATGAAGACGGGCAGACGCCATAAATTGTGCGATGAGGGAAATTTTGCCCGGACAGCGGCACTACGGCCTACTCTTATATCGAATTCCATCTGTCAAAGGGATCTTTTACGTCCACTCCAATGTAGACACGGGACCTCGGTTTTTCGTCCCATCCGAAAGACTAGACAGCTGTCCTTGTCCGCCTCGAAAAGAATAGAGTCCCTATATATGATATAAACGAAGAAAGGGGATGGGGTGGGGCGGGGGTGGGGGGGATGAGGTATTTGACATTTTCATGTGGCCTCGTCCAGTCGATAAAACCAGTCAGTTAGTTCAGTCGAATAATCCAGTCGAATAAACCAGTCGAATAATTCAGTCGAAAAGTTCAGTCGAATAAACCAGTCGAATAGTTCAGTCGAATAATTCAGTCGAATAAACAAGTCGATCAATATTAAGCAGCGGTGGCAGCGGGCTAAGATAATATAGTAGCAAATCATGCTCGTAGCCATAGCTGAAGGAGCCGGGGGCATGGGGTAGGGACCGGGGGGCTTCCCAACTAGTTTCAAGAAATGATAAGAAATGAAATGGGGTTTAACGTCCTTCTGTTCTGCTTGGAACTGGGCTAATGAAGACGGGCAGACGCCATAAATTGTGCGATGAGGGAAATTTTGCCCGGACAGCGGCACTACGGCCTACTCTTATATCGAATTCCATCTGTCAAAGGGATCTTTTACGTCCACTCCAATGTAGACACGGGACCTCGGTTTTTCGTCCCATCCGAAAGACTAGACAGCTGTCCTTGTCCGCCTCGAAAAGAATAGAGTCCCTATATATGATATGAACGAAGAAAGGGGATGGGGTGGGGCGGGGGGGGGGGGTGAGGTATTTGACATTTTCATGTGGCCTCGTCCAGTCGATAAAATCAGTCAGTTAGTTCAGTCGAATAAACCAGTCGAATAATTCAGTCGAAAAGTTCAGTCGAATAGTTCAGTCGAATACTTCAGTCGAATAGTTCAGTCGAATAGTTCAGTCGAATAAACAAGTCGCTCAATATTAAGCAGCGGTGGCAGCGGGCTAAGATGATATGGTAGCAAATCATGCTCTTAGACATAGCTGAAGGAGCCGGGGCATGGGGTAGAGACCGGGGGGCTTCCCAACTAGTTTCAAGAAATGAAAAGAAATGAAATGGGGTTTTAACGTCCTACTGTTCTGCTTGGAACTGGGCTAATGAAGACGGGCAGACGCCATACACTGTGCGATGGGGGAAATTTTGCCCGGACAGCGGCACTACGGCGTACTCTTATATCGAATTCCATCTGTCAAGGGATCTTTTACGTCCACGCCAATGTGCACACGGGACCTCGGTTTTTCGTCCCATCCGAACGACTAGACAGCTGTCCTTGTCCGCCTCGAAAAGAATAGAGTCCCTATATATGATATGAACGAAGAAAGGGGATGGGGTGGGGCGGGGGTGGGGGGGATGAGGTATTTGACATTGTCATGTGGCCTCGTCCAGTCGATAAAATCAGTCAGTTAGTTCAGTCGAATAATCCAGTCGAATAAACCAGTCGAATAATTCAGTCGAAAAGTTCAGTCGAATAAACCAGTCGAATAGTTCAGTCGAATAATTCAGTCGAATAATCCAGTCGAATAATTCAGTCGAATAAACAAGTCGCTCAATATTAAGCAGCGGTGGCAGCGGGCTAAGATAATATAGTAGCAAATCATGCTCGTAGCCATAGCTGAAGGAGCCGGGGGCATGGGGTAGGGACCGGGGGGCTTCCCAACTAGTTTCAAGAAATGAAAAGAAATGAAATGGGGTTTTAACGTCCTACTGTTCTGCTTGGAACTGGGCTAATGAAGACGGGCAGACGCCATACACTGTGCGATGAGGGAAATTTTGCCCGGACAGCGGCACTACGGCCTACTCTTATATCGAATTCCATCTGTCAAAGGGATCTTTTACGTCCACTCCAATGTATACACGGGACCTCGGTTTTTCGTCCCATCCGAAAGACTAGACAGCTGTCCTTGTCCGCCACGAAAAGAATAGAGTCCCTATATATGATATGAACGAAGAAAGGGGATGGGGTGGGGCGGGGGGGGGGGTATTTGACATTTTCATGTGGCCTCGTCCAGTCGATAAAATCAGTCAGTTAGTTCAGTCGAATAATCCAGTCGAATAAACCAGTCGAATAATTCAGTCGAAAAGTTCAGTCGAATAAACCAGTCGAATAGTTCAGTCGA